CTTTACTTCTGCTGCCTTTTCTCTTCCTTCATGCCCAATTAAAATTCCTCACAGTACCATTTCCCACTGTAACCTGGGTTGAAGGTGAAAGAGATAAAACAACCTATGTCATGCAATTGTGGGTAGATGTAGCTGCCAACTGACCTTGCCAGAAGTAGCTTCCAGGGCCACCAAGAAGAACCCGTCCTGCCTGCAGAGAGAAAGACATTTTTTAAAATTCTTATTTACCGTAACCACCTCTACCTTAACGTGTTGGAGATTTCTCCCTTAAATGTCCAAACCTTGGCTCCAAACCTCAGCTCCCGATATAAAGCCTCGGAAGCTGAGAACCAAATAGGATATTAAATTCACAATAAATCCAATTTTTTTCCAAAGTCCTCTGGAACACTAAGATGACACAGCCGTCCACATTGAGGGACCATTGAGAGGGGTGGCAAACAGGTCAACTCCTGGGCAGCCCAAAAGGTCCACAATCACCCGAAAGATTGTTGGCTGCAGCTGCCACTCCAAACTGTCCACCTCAGTCCGGCTGAGCCAGTTGGCGGCCCTGAATAATCACCCTGACCCTGTTGCTCCGGAGGCACCAGTTGAATAGCCATAAGGTGCGTTGTCCTTACATTGCCCCACACTCAAGAAGGAAGGAAACTGACCTTTGTGAATTCAGCACTGAAACCACCTTGACAATAACCTTGTCCAGCAGCTGAGTTTAGATCTGGCAGGAGAGAGAGAAAGTGGGTGGGGAAGAAGAGAGTTGAGAAATTTAGAGAAGCTGAACAAGCAATGAATGGCATGAAATCATGGTGCAACAACAGTTTATGTGGGTAATGTAAGAAACCATTGATATTGCAGCTTGAGTTTTTTAATGAGATGACTTTCAATTGTGTTTCCTGCACATGGAGGCACACATGTAGTGGAGGAAGTTCAGGATAAAACTCCCACTTAAAGGCATCACGAAGTAGGAATCCGGGATTATCTCTTCTATTCCCCTCCCTTCCCTATCCTTCAAATTAAATCCATCATTTCATCTGATATAAACTGAGCAAAGCATCATCATAATGACTGAGCATGGGGAACATGTGGTGTTCATTAACAATCAGGAGGGCCACAGGTTTTCCATCCTGCAGCGCAGAGCTTAAAAAAAAAGGCCATAACATGAATGGCTTATTTTAATAACATAGTGGGATGTATTTCTTTAAACACTTCATTAATGCTTCCTGAATGATAAAAGTGGAAAGATGGGTTACGAGCAGGGATGTGCCAAGTTCTTCTATTTGGGAATGGAACATTCTGCTTCTCCTCTGGATTAGCCAATCTCCTTTAGACCGTGCCATTCCAGGGGTGGTCTGGCGGTTTTCAGAAGTAAATCATCTAAATTGGAAGCAGTTTGAAGCATCCTGGGTGTGGTCTGGGCATGAAACAGGTCTGTTTCATCCAGAATGCTATGTCTAGGATACCTCAAACTGTTTCCGATTCAGAGAATTTACTTTCAGAAACAATCATGCTGCCCCAGAGTAGCATGGTCCAGAGGGGAATAGAATGTTCTTTAGTTCAAAGGAATGTTTCATTCCCGAAGTAGATTCCCACATCCCTGGTCATGACAGAAAGCAATTTCTTCCAGCAAGCATTTTAAATAATATTTTAATTGAGTGCCATCTGGAAAGAGGTACTAACTGTGCCTTGCCTTCCAAAAGGCACAGGCATGGAACAACACTCACAGTCTCATGTTTACATACGTGTTTTGNGGGGGAATAAAATAGCTAAGAGACTGACTTTGTCGATCAGGAGGGTCGGCAGTTTGGCGGTTCGAATCCCTAGCGCCGCATAACAGAGTGAGCTCCTGTGACTTGTCCCAGCTTCTGCCAACCTAGCAGTTCGAAAGCATGTAAAAATGCAAGTAGAAAAAAGGAACCACCTTTGGTGGGAAGCTAACAGCGTTCCGTGCAATTCCAGCATTTAGTCATGCCGGCCACAAGACCATGGAGACGTCTTCAGACAGCGCCGGCTCTTCGGCTTTGAAATGGAGATGAGCACCGCCCCCTAGAGTCGGGAACGACTAGCACATGTGTGCGAGGGGAACCTTTATATGCAGAGGCATGAAAGAAGAAAAACGTTCTTCATTTCTCACACAGAAAAGTTAACTTAGCCAAGGAAGGCTAATGAGATTAAGGCTGATGTAATTCCTGATGTCACTCTGTAACCCCCAGTGGGATCAGAAATCTTGTAATCTGGGGGAATCCCACAGGAAATCCGCATGTCAATTTTAGACTTGCCTGACGCCAAGACAGCCAGCGCAAAGAGAAGGCTGCCTCACAGATTACCTAACCGAAGGATTTTCCTGCGACTTTCCAACACTTTTTTACTTTTACCTAAAAAAAAAATGTGTCAACTCCAATTTACACTTTATAGCAAGGGCTGCCATCCTGAATTGCATGTGAAAAGTAATTTTTGCTAAACTTCTATACATTTTTTTTAAAAAAACCCTAATTTGTGTTTCAAACAACATCATGACTTGGTTTGGGTTTTAAAAAGGTCCAGAACAATTTTTTGTTTTCATTCACTGTCTTTCAGATTTTAATCTGATCCGTATACATTTCTGGGGTTAGGTTTACTTCGTGACCTGACAAACGCACGCACGACAAAACCGCGCCGACAAAACCGCAGCGAGAAAACCGTGACGTCGAAATCGTGCCCATAACAGCGCGCCGACAAAACCGCACCCACAAAAGGTGATTAGGGTTAAGGTAAGGGTTAGGTTTAGGATTAGGGTTAGGGTTATTACGTTGTTTTCGCGTCATTTGTTGAAGGCGCGCTTTTGTCGGCGCGCTGTTGTCAGTGAACCAGTTTACTTGACTTCTAAATGTTTTTTAAGATGACGTGGGCATTTCTAAAGATCAATGTGCTAAAGAGAGAGAAAGACAGGACCCATTAAATTCCATTAAGCCTCACTTTCTCCTGTTGAGCTTCAATGTACACAGAGTCAGCAAATAAATAAGGAAAGCAAATACAATTAAATAAAGCATTTTGGTGTTTAAAAGAGGCGTGAAGGCTCAGCTCTTCAGCCAGATCTTTGTTGAATGAAATAGCCCTTGGGTATCTTTTTTTTATCCTTCCTTCCTTCCTTCCTTCCTTCCTTCCTTCCTTCCTTCCTTCCTTCCTTCCCTGTTTCCCTGAAAATAAGACACTCCCTGGATAATAAGCTCAATTGGGCTTTTGAGCACATGCGCTAAAATAAGCCCTCCCCTGAAAATAAGATCTCCCGTTAAATATTTAACCTTAGCGCAGTCGGTCCTCGCCATTTCCTGGTGAGGAAAGGGGGGAACATGCCCCACACGCACCTTGTGCCCCACATGCACCTGCCATCCACGCGGACCGGCTTCGGAAAGGCCGCTCCCACAAATCCTAGCTACCGCACCCCTTCTCTTAGTGGCGCCTGCAAAAAGAGCAGTAGGCCCAGCAACGGTAGGGCCGGCAAGAGTGTACCAGAAACAGAGACAGAACTTCTGGTCCTCTCTGGATCCGCTGATCTGGGGGCCACAGGCCAAGGTTAAGGGGCCTCCTGCACCTCAAAAATAATAAGACCTCCCCAGCATACTCGACAGATGACTGGTGGGATTATAGATAATTGAAAACAGTGATATACAAATATAAATAGTTGGTAAATCTTTTTTATATTGTAAAAATATTCAGAATGGGATAAGTGAATATATATAAAGGTATATTGTTATTAAACAGACAATCAAGAATGTATGGGAATTAGGCTTATTGAAAAGGAAAAAAATATTAATCGTAATTGAATATACGTTGTACAATGAAAGTGAGGTATTTAGTTATATTAGATGGAAAATCTGTGATTGTAAATGTCATTGAGAATATGGATGCAAAAACACTTGTAACCAAACGACATGCTGTGTATGTAATGGATGAGGATTTTTTTATGTTGTTTTTTATGTTTAAAAATAAAAAAATGCAATAATAATAATAATAATAATAATAATAATAATAATAATAATAATAATACCACCTCCTCAAAAATAAGGCCAAGTGCTTATTTCGGGGGTCAAAAGAAAATAAGACCCTGTCTTATTTTCGGGGAAACACAGTAAAAGTTGTTTCATTGGATTTTTAACAACAGTGGCTTGCTTTAGATCAATTTCACATGCTGGTATCATCTTTGTCTCAAATTCAATGTAATATAAGGCTAACAGTAACTTCCTTAAAAAGACAAATACTAAATTATAAATTATCAAATGCAATCACCTAATTTAAATTTAATCAAGTCGACTGAACTGATTTTGTTGCTGTTGTGACACCCAGCAATATATTCTTCTGGTCCTCTATCATGCCCATTAATGATTTAAAAAAAATAAATCCTGCTTCAGCACAAGGCAAATCTTTCGCGGACATGCCCCAAATGCAGATTAGCAAAAAAAAAAGCATCAATTCACATAAAAAGGCAAAACTGGTTTTGAACAAGTTTCTAGTCCTCACAGTTGTATACAAAGAGGGAGAAATGATCTGCTATCAAGATATTTCCGGGCTCCTTTAAAAAAACACACACTACAGGGTCAGGGTTTCCAACTCCAAGACGTAAGATTGAGGCAAAGTCGCTATGCGTAGTGTAGAGAGCTCAGAGCTATGGTTTTCATTTCATTTTGGGCAGCCATCCTTGAAAATTTTAGCAGGCTCACCAGCCTGCTAAAAATTAGTGTATCTTGGGATCCAGTGCGAAGCCTTTTGGAAATTCATGAACTGCTTCCGGGAAGAGCATCTTTGAAATCAAGGCATGGGACAGCTTTTTGGTTATGCATTCAGCTGCAAACATTTTTTTTAAAAAAAATGGGTTAGACAGAAGGAAAGATGGAGGCAGAGAACGGGGTGAGGCTGGAAGGGAAGTGACTGTCACCTCACTAGCTAGATCCCCAACTGTTCTCCGTGGCAATCTGTTATGCCTTTCCGCCTTTTTCTACCAATGCATCCCCAGAAGATCTAGCAAGATTCCACCCCTCACTCTCCGTTCAAAAACCTTCCATAACTAAGGAGGAGAAAAATCAGACGCAGCTACCTGATAGGGAAAAGCCGATGAAGGAAGGGGTTGCAGAGAATAAGATCGGAAAGGCACTTATAAGAATTATCACCGGAAAATAGACCGCGCCCGGGAATACCTCCACCGGCCCAGGTATGTTGCCCTTGCAAGCTTTCCACTCGCCTGTCAAAATGCACACGCAGAGGATCATGCATGGCATGTCACCACAAGGGAGCGTTAGCGGCTTCCATCCAAACGCTCCGAATTTACTCTCCCTTAGCAAATCTCTCACTTCTGATAGCCGGGGTGGGAAGAATAAAAAGTATCCTCTTCCTGATGGATATTAAAAAGGAAAAGGTCACCACATCCCTGCCAATTGTGCGTGGAATTTGCCAGTTCCTAATTTATATCCCTGTGTATAAACATAGCGGGAGGGGGGGGAGAGATAAGAATGCCGAATATGCTACACATTCCCTTGTAAACAACCATAGCTCGGGTAAGCTTCTATCGCACATTTGCAGCATCACATGCAAATAACAACACCCTTGGATCAGTTAAAACAGCAGGACTGTTAAATCCAGGTATTATTAAAAAAAATAATCTGCATTTAATAACCAAGGAATCTAGGCAAGCATAGCTAAGCTACCAAGCCAGCTGTAGGATTTTTTTTTATCCCCTTTCCTTTTCCTAATGTGCTCCTTTG